ATTTTCTTTACGAGCAATCGTCCTATTTCCCCAAAGTCAACAATTTTTCAGCGGCTGTAGTTCAACCTAAAATTTATTGGACAACAGTATAGGGGAGCAACAAGCTCACATTGGGCTCGCCGTGATCGAAATGCTTAATTAATTCTTAATCCTCACATAAATAGAGCGATACCTGCTGATCTCAATGTTCAGAGTGTCACGATCGCAGCAAGGTAAGTCAACTTGTATAGTAGAAAGATACCTTAAAGCATGCGAACTTCAATTTTCTGTCCTTTAAGTTTCTGTGGCTTCCCCAGTTAAACGATAACTTACACCCATATGTTCACGCATACCATTTCACCGGAAGAAATGGATATAGTTTAGATCTAGTTTATGTACAACTAAGAGATTGACTCATTTTTCTTGAAAACAAAGCCATACATGAGAAAACGTTATTCTTTTTTTGTAGTATCATCATCTTATTGAAGATTACTAGAGTATATAAAACTACAACGATACTATATGAATTTTAATGACACAAATAAATTCAACCTGAAACAATTTTTAACTTATTCCTCATTTTTGTTTTAAATTTTGGTCATCGTACTTATTATTTCAAAATTCGACGTTAGTGGAGATGTGCTGACGCGCGGAAGATAATGGAAGATAGACGCAGGAACGGATTTTTGATCGCACATGAGCCATCACAAACATTAGAGATATTTAAATGTGATGCAGGGCTTTGCCTCGCAAACACTACTATTTGTTCGCCCACGGGATCTCGAGCGTTCTGTCCTCTTGCCCCGATAATGGAGAAGTCGTAGGAAAAATCGTTCAGTTTTCTTCGTAGAGTCGTCGAACGCGTGTCGCGTGCACGAGCTCTTCCCTGATATCTCCGAGAATTCCATAACGCGATGGTACAGCGAGTGGACACGATCGCGAAACAGAAATCTTCGTTATAATCACGGGATTTAGTGGTTGAATGCGTTCCTTAATAAAGTCGCTAAGAGGTGATCGATTCGTTTGCAGATCCACTGTAAGACAATGGCGATTTTCCAATCTTCAGGATCCATTTTTGTTAGCGGTGAGTGTTTTTTCATATCGTAGGATTTAACTAGATTCATCTGCGGTTAATCATTATCTGTGTTCATCGCGCAAGTTTTATTCATTAAATATAAAACTGTTTCATGTTAACAAAATTATTAATGAATTATTTTATTGCATCGCCCCATTTTTCCGTTGATTAAATTAAACGATCGAGTTTCTACTGTATTCATGAAAAATATTCAGTTAAAAATGTCTGTATTGTTTGTGCTTTTCATGAAACACCAGCTCTTTTGGTCGGTACTCTGGCGTTGTTGGTTTGCAATAACAGTTCGTGTGCTGATGAGGTACCGGCGTTCTTTTTAAAAATCGCGAAGAACATGCCACGTCTTGGTCGTAGTGACAGTTACGACGATTACTTGAAATCTCGAAAAAATCTTCTGAAACCTGGAGACGGTAGCAGCAGTGCAAAGGTATCAATAATTAAAAACATAATTATACTTCGTATCATGAACGAGTATAAATTTTCTGTTGTCTTTAAGCTTGAGCCTTGGCCAACATATAGTAACGACGAATCCTTTTCAAGGCCTAACAAAAGACGCGTAGACTATGACGCCATTAATGGTAAAAGTTTTCTTTATTATCTTCGTACAATATAAAATCTTCTATTTGATAGTGAAAATAAAACAAACTATTTGATATTCATTTATAACTTAATTTTTTGAGTGGAATCAGGAATAATTAAATAAAAATACATATGATAAATTGCATAAATCACGGAATACGAGTATTCTAATTTGAGTGCAATAATATTTTGGCAATGTTAAAAGATGAGTGGGCTTGGCAACATTTTCCTCTTGCAATAGAAGGGCCCCGAGAACTCTGGCGAACCTTGGCTGGATATTCGAAGGACACGTCAGACGAGTAAGTTCGCGAAATGGTATAAAATGGAAAAACTGTATTAATTTTATTCTTTCTGTTTCCACAAGCATCGACAATGGCATATGGAAACGGAAGAAGAGGACGGGAAGTGAACCTGGAATTCTGGAGAATTAGCTTAAACGGCACAGTGAAGTGCTTATAAAAATTATGGATGAATATATTTAATGTTGTACTGTTCGTGGTGTAAGGTGTTGGGAAAAATATAAAGTAAATATGTAAATAGAAGATATACCGCGCGTGTGTATTGTTCGAGACATTATTCCCTCCTTCACATTGAATTACAATCTATTTGCACTTTACTTTCATACATCAAACTAAAGTGAATTATTAGTTATGCCTGAAACCTAAATGAACTGAATATGAATATATCAAGATTATTGTTGCATATATTATAATAGTTCCCTTGCAGTAATGTTTATAAAATATTCAATTAATAAAAATTGTTTTCCCTTTATTTTTCTCTTGTCGAAATTCTTCTTACGTTATGATACGTTTGTGGACCGTTATTAGGTGAAGGTACAATTATCGACACTGGTCATGGAACGATGAATAAAAGACAGCATGTAATCCGAAAATTCTCGTCTCAAAATTTGCTGCCAGATGTTTTTTGCATGTGCTTGGCAGCCCTTGAGAAAAAATAATACTGACACCATGACATTGACTACATCTGCGCCGTGAATCAAACTGCGCACTGTAATATCGATTCTATTGTATAATACATAAAGTATACATACATCTCTCTAACGTAATACCAGATAATACCTACATTCCTCTTAAATGAAACTTTGGATACATCATTAGACTCATTTCTTAAACTATGGTTATATATAATTAATTATATTCCAAAATCTGTACGAATGCACGGACTGACAACTTCCCATGGAATACTATCATCATCATACATTATCATCATCAGATCGGCTGATAAAGAATCAACTTCACGTTTTCTAGTACGTTAGTTGTGCAGCCCGTTGCCATGAGCATAACGCATATGCCGACACTGAAAAAGGAACAGGCTAACCGGTGTCAGCCCTCGCCTTGGAAGGATTGTACCACGCACGAAATTGCAGTTTCAGACATCCCTTGTTAGTCGTCATATGAAAGATAATTTTCCTAGACGTTACTCGAAACGTGCACGAATACATATTTATATCCCGTGGGTACATGACAACCGCCTCTCGCGCAATCATCGATCTCGACTGACATGCGTAAAAAATGACACGGAACAAACACAGCATTTGTAAGCATTTGTATATGTATACATCGTGCCAGAAGAAAACGAACAAAACTACCCCTTACATAAAAAAAAAACGAGGTACAAATATTCGTAAGCTTTAAAAATAATCTCTGTTTCTACTTAATTGTTTTATAGCGCATGAACATCAAATAAAATAATACAAAATGAGACTTTATAATAGGAAGATGCATTTCATTTACAAATATTCAACACAGAGATTTTTATTTAAATTTAATTTAATTTGAAGTGAAAATTTATTATTAAGAAGTTGAGTTGGATATTGCTATTCGCATGACTACGAGTTGAGTTAGCCCTCCGGTTGTCACGATCGTGGACGCTGTTCCTTGTTAACATCGGCACTCAGGCACAGAGTTAGTACTTGAGAAGCAGTTATGATAATGAAGGGTTTAAGTCTCGATTAGCCACATGATCGTTTGCCACGCGTGTCAAAATGCGGGTGGATCGAGTCTCGAGGACCGAAAAATAGTTAGCGCGGAATGTAAACATTTCTTAACAATTTTTATCTTAAGAAGCTTCTTCAATTGAAACTTCTGGAAGAATTCTTAACGACCAGCTCACGAGGATGCATTTCGAACCCCTTGGAAAAATCTCGGAAAAATAAAAAAATTTTTTTTTGTTGTTTATTATGAGCAATGTTCTTCCGACGTCTGATTTCTTTTTAAGAAATGAATAAAGAATTACTGAAACTGAAGAAATAAATTATTGAAATTAAAATAATATCGATATTTAAGACAACGCTCGATGTTTACACAGAGGCAATCGTAATACATGTAATTTGAGTTCGCTGCCAATTACACCTGGCTTTGTCCTCTCATATTCAGAACGTGCGTTGATCCAAATTCCCAAGGGTATGGCGAGAACAATGAGAAAGAACGGTTACCGTATGGCTTAAGTTTAAACGCTTCTTCCAGGATCCCACATTCGAAGCACGGCACGCTTGTCATCGATAGATCCGCGGCAACTTTCTAAACACCGAGAGTTAATTACCCCCAAGGAGCGCGCGCGCAATCCTCGAAGAAGCGTTGCTCCGCAGCAGCCGCGTAATTAAAAGCTTCAGTTGTATACGCCCGAACACGGCGACCCATGCATCTCGCCGAGTAAACTTTCCAAATAATTATACCGAGTATTATTTAATTCAAGTAATGACTACCGTGGCGAACCGGCTGCTGTAACAACAGAACACCAAAACAGAAGAAGAAAAGGTTGCGGAGGCGACGTAGGAGCGCGCGAGAAGATTCGTTCGTTCCGTGGCAACTCGCGTTTTCTCTATCTCTTTCTCCTCCCATTTCACACTCTCTCTCTCCTTTCCTCTACGCTCTCGTGCCCATCGGATAATTCGCACGTACGACGTTTTCACCTTTCCGTGCCGATTTTTCGCCAAATACCATCGCGTTTCCGTGAACTTACCGAGTATCATCCAACATCGCGGCCGCTGTTCTTCGGGACGTGTCAGGAGACAGCGGGGAGTCTGCTGCGAAGGGGGACCGAATATGGTAGAGATGCACGGTTACGAGTACACCACTGCCAAGCTCAGGCTGGTTTGCACATAGCAATTTACGGAAACCGCACGTACCGCGCGTTCGCCGTCAGCCAACGGTGGAGGAGAGACGAGGAGAAGCTCGACACAGAGCGTTTCCACGCTGAGTGTTACGTAACGGATCGGGGCGCTAGATCTCCGGCCAGAGTAACTGTATTTTCGAGGAAGAGGCAGGCCTCTGTGTTCGAAGCGAAATCACGAGGCACAACTTCGCCTCCGGGACCAAACGACGCGACAATGCGATGGCGGACCCGTTTCTATTTGCCATTCGTATGCGACAATATCCCTTCAAAAAGAGCGATGGAACATGTACAGAGGAGAAGGAAAATATCGCTCGTCCGATTCATGGTAATCGCATTAGTAATGGATCGTCTTGATGTTTGCGCGAATGAAGCACATGCAGAAGGCGAACCGATGCATTGATGAGGGTAATTGAAGGATTAGTTCCGTTGGTATAGGGCACTGAATGGAGAAATGAGATTTGTGAGGATATTAGCTGTGGTGTAACAAGTACCAACACACTTGAAGATTGAAGATTTTTATATTTGTAAGAGAAATCACATGTACAAGTTCTTCAATAAATTTCCATATAACGTATCTCGTATTATGTACAAAATTAGGATCAACAATTAAACGAATACTATCCGCCTACTAAATGCTTGATATTACATACTTGACGTCACAAATATTCACAATTGCAGTAATGGTAGTTGATTTTTTTTCAACACGATCAAAGTGCGCTATGAATACGTTAAGGATATTAATTAGAGATCGATACTGAAAGATATTCTTCTGTCTGTTTTGGTGCGCGACGTCTATAATTTTTCTGTCGCTCGAAAGTAAACACAGTTGGCGATTACTTCGTTTCTGCGTTTTGCAATCAATTCAAATGGCCGATAATTGTAGTGGCGGGTGTTCAGTTTTTTCTGTCGGTCACGACTGGAATTAAGTGGTAAACCTTTATTTTCCTGACCTAGGGAATCGTGCACGATCTTTTTTGTAACACTGAATATTGCAAATGCAACTACGAACACTCTGCAATCTGCTATACGTATGTAAATATTTCCATAGAAGAACATGTTTTACTTCATTCATATTTAATCTAACATCTTTCAAGGAACTGATCAAAAGAAAACGTTTGATTTTATTCATGTAAGACGCATTTATTTTTCTGCAGAATGATTTAGAAATAGCAAGAGCAGCGAATCGGCAAGAACCGGAAGAGCGTTAAAGCGGAAGTTGCATGGGCTACGTGAACAATGCGCGTGTCCCGGTCGTTTAATAACCCTGATTTGCCGTTTATACGGGAGGTCATGGAGAACGGAGCAGAGAGAGCGACAGAGAGGGAGCAGGAGAACGAAGAACAGGACAGAACGGTGGAGCGAGAGGGAGAGAGGGTGGTGGCGATGATGGGATGAGAGGGTGAACATCGGGATCGCGCGCAACAACCGTACATAATCACGTAATGCGGTTATCATGCCAATTGCGTAAATATTTGAGCCAATTTGTGGCATGCAACGGACTAGCTCTCTCCTCGACCCGTGCTTCACGAGACCACCGCCCGATCGGCGACCTATTACGAGCAACTTGTTGTTGCTCTGTTCGCCATCCATTGCGATTCTCTCTCTTTCCTCGTTCCACTTATTCTTTCGCCCTTCGTTCCTTCCACTTTGTGCGTTCTCACTTCGTCGCATTCTGCCGACCGTTAACGCAACGGCGACGCCGAACACTTCGATTCGCTGGTCTCGCACCCGTTACAATTCGTCTGGGAACTGCGAGTCCCTCTTCTAACGACATTCGCATATGAGAATTACAGTGAGTCGATTATTTCATGCGCTTGATTCAGTCATTCGTAAAAATGCACAACTAATGAACGAAATTGCACATTAAGAAATTATCCGTTAATGAAACAATTAATTTAATTTCCTTTCGTCCAAAAGGGAATCGCTAATTTTTATACAATTTGACTTTAAAAGTTAGTAGTGGAGCGTCTCGAAATTAGAAGGGGAGGAAACAGATAAGAGACTGAAAGGGACAGACTCTTCTGCAGGATGTAAGCTCTTTCCACAATGTAATTTAGGTCCTATTCCTGCTCTCTTTCACCCCGAAAGATCGTGGCTTTCACTCCGATGGTTTACTACTGCGTGTGCACGTTCGTTTCGGCTATGTCTCTGTCCGTGTGCCGCCTTCTCATCCCCGCAGGTAGAACAGACGGTCGGCCATGGGTCAATTAGGCAACTGTACAAGCATAGAACCTCGTAAACCTTCGGGACCTGCTCGTTCGACTTCCTCCAGAACGTCGTGTGAAAAAGAACAAGTCAAACCTATATGTATAGTGCCACAATAAAAACTGTGGATCGTTTTCTTGGAAACAAAATAGATCTTTTATTCATTCAGCTTTCACGTTAATTTCTTAAACGGAGCGTACAC